AGATATCAAATCGGTTCATCAGGCAGAAACAATCGCACAAATAAAGTTGATGAAAAGTTCCAGGAGTACTCACAAGTCCAGAAATGAACATTAAGGAAATCATTAAATAACTATCAGTGGCAAGAACGAAAGAAGCTTAAGATCCAATATTAAGCAAGTGCCCGTCTCCATCAAGGGGAAACATCTGACAGTAACAGCAAATGAGTTACAGGAAAATGAGGGTAAAAAAGACGACACCAGATCAATCACAGAATACATCATAAGAGTTGAAGTTGATTGAATGTACATTCATCACAACGCATGTTAGTCCTCTACCATCACCCATGCCGAAGGATGCTAAGTGGAAAAAACCGAGATTGTCATTCAAAACATAAAATGACTTACAAGGTCAAAGTAGTTGTTATTGCATTTGAGCTTTCATTTTGCATTTTTTTTCTGTAATGAACTTCAATGATTCAACTTATCAACTTTCGTGTCAAGCATATTTTACTGCAATTGATAAGGCAAGACTCCCAATTTGATCACTCTGTAATTACCACTTTGACACGAATTCATTATACATCCTTCATGGCTCTGCTAGAAGTTATGACATAAAAGTGATCAAGCCAAATTGACAGTTACTTAAATCAGTCATAAACAAGCAAAAGCGCATTGGAGTGGGACGAGAATTTTTTTGGCGCTTCAAAGAAACCTTGGTCTAAATGATAAAGATAAAAGAGGAAAAATGCGACTTCATCCAATGCATGACTACCGTCCTGGTAAGGTGGACTACTAGAGGAGCTGAAATAATTCAAGAAAGAACCGTTATTATAATGGCATATACTGGCAAAATATACAGGTAATAAACCAGATAGAGGGAAGGACATTTCTACTGTGAATGCAAAGTAAAAGGAAGGAAACGAACCACAGATATTAAGAAAATGCCTGCCTTCATAACCTAATTAAAGATGGTTTGACTGCTCAAGGGGAGCCACAAAACAGTTCTTAAAGGCCACACCCAAAATAACGATATTCAAAGGGAGATAGAACAAGAGTATTAACTCTTTCAAAGAGAACTGAAGCTAAGATAAAACGGGAGTCCACCTGCTTTTGTGAGGGCTTAAAGTTCCATGCCATGTGCGAGTAGGTGTCCGCAGAGAATTCGACAGTGATGCGTCTGTCGCGAACCGGTTTCATCAGCGCGATGAAGTCAGAGGCCGAGACACGAGCGCCATCTGTATTAGAGCCTCGTCCACTTTTCTGTGGAGTTAAAAATAAGACGAAGTGATATCACGGATATTACCACGAGGAAATATATAAGCCTCAGTATGGCCTATCAACCCGAAAGCTTTTGGAATGATAGAATTGCAGGTGGAAAAAGGTAGTAAAAAGCCCCTCACCTACCAGAAAGCATAAAAGGGGACTATGAACCGATGAGCACTGGTAAGAATCAGCGAAAACCGGAGAAACATGTAAACCCCACCACATGATGCAAAAATCATATGGGACTGATAAAGTGCTAGCTTAGTGAAAAGAAGTCACAGCAATGATAACCAAATAATCACTAGCTTTAACCACACTCATTCAATATCTCACGTCAGAGATGCACAAAACGCTAGTAACGCGTTAGGCAGGATTGAAGGAAATGCTTATAAACTCCGAAAAACTGGACACAAAAAAGGTAACCGCATTACATATAGCAGAGGTGGCTCGAACAAATGCCTGAGGTTCCTAAGTAGAACATCTATGCACTGAAGGAACCTCAACAGAACGATGGTAAAGCAAAAAGATGGCGATCAAAAAGGAAAAAAATTTTCATATATTTATCAAAAATACGCAAAGAAGGCAAAGACTAGGAAGTAAAGTTATTGAAACCAAAAAAGTCTCCCCATCACTAATCGGTGTGAAAAATTAAACCAAATGATGATAGCATAACATTATAAGACAACTGTAGAGTTTTTGGCAGTGAGTTTTAAAACCAGAAGCTATAACCAATGTAGGCAGAGAATAAGGAACAAGGAAGCGCAAAACTTACTATTGTATGCCACAAAGAATAAAAAAGGACATTTAAAAAATTGGTAAGGAGCCAAAATATAGATAATCTTCATACAGCTGTATCAAGAAGTAAAAGAACTGTTATTTACAGCACAGTATATACGATAGAGAGGGACCCCAGCGTATCCCAGTCCCAGCATGAATATCCCTAAGCCAGTAGAATAGTAGAGGATACTTTTCCTTCGGTAGTCGTGAGCTTTCTGAGAGTATGACCGGAAGACCTGCTTGCAAACAGTAGCAGAATCACGGCAAAGGTGCAAAAACATTGTGAAGTCACCTGGAAAGGAAAGGTTATGTCAGCAAACCAACAAGATGTCTGAATGATATTTATGAGTGGTGTTGAAAAAAAAACAGGTTCAATGTATTTCAGCCCGCCTCCAAAAGACTATTCACCTGACAAAGCGGATGCACTTCCAACGCAGTCGAAGCTTACATGGTTCAAAACAGACCTACTAAAGCAGCCTGAGAAAGCGACAACGGTGTGGGGAAAGGAACGTGCAACTACTATTAAAGAAATGACAGGAGGTTAACAACATAGTGTGTCCAGTAAAAACGCAAAGCCCCAACGTACGTCCCAGAGACGGTTGGACGTGTTTATTTACAACACTCAATGACCTGGCACAAGTGAAAGTTCCTTACACTTAATTTCGTTATAACAAGCTTGAGCGTCAGGAACTGAGGCCAAAGGAAATCATTCACACCTAACATGTAACATGCGCTGCGTAACTGCCTCGATTCCGTCAAAGATATCGCTTTCGTATATACTATACTCTGCGCCTTTTAACAAGAAAAAAGTACGCGCAAAGATCTCACGTTTCATCAAGGTTTGTAGTGTACATACATCCCAAGGCTCATAGATCGCTAAAAACTTCACCCAAATCAAAGATTGTTAAAAGTACGCCCTGTAATTGAAGTGCATAAACACTGTGGCTTGGAAATCAGGTACAAGAGTGTTATAAAGTGCATGCAAGAGCATTAAGGCATATCACACTGTTCTCATTTTCTTAAAATCCATGCAAAAAACATTATAACTGCACCTTTACGAAATTATATATAGCTAACCAGCCTGAGTTCGTGGGAGCTAGAACCTACCTGATATTTCGACCCCAGTTACTATTATAATGCTGCAAAAATATTAAAAGTCAGGATTCTTTACAAAAAATTATAAATAACCTTATAAACTCCGACGCCAGTTCGGGTCTATATCTCCCAATATTTTAGGTTCTAACATTTTGTAGATATCTTTGTTTGGCATGTGGCTTATATTAACTTTCACATTACATTTTAAGACTCGAGTCGTTGTAAAGTTAGCCGTCTTCTAACATGAATGTAATCCTTGGGTATTTATTACCATTGGAAATTTTCCTTACTATCGCACATCCTTTTTGATCTTGGGTTCTGCCGATATGGCGGCATTTTCGACTTGAGGATGGGGTATCAAAGGGATCTTGAGACGTGGGTTGTTTTTCTGTTGCTCCGTAATGTTTTTGTGTCTCATAAAGTGTCCTAATTCTGCATTATTATTCTCCACCATACTCCCTCGTAGTACATAGTACGATGCGCTGAAATTTTTTCAATCAGGTATTTTTCCAGCCATTTGCTTTGCCGATTATTTAATTTTTGCAGACACTTAATTTTTCAAGGTGCTGTTGTTTGTCCTTAGCTGATGCAGGGTTCACTCAGCGTTATTTCCAAACACATTTTGCTTTTTGTCACTTGTGTTCATTTTATTTTCTGTTTACTTCTTTTTTAGCACTGTACACATGCGTTTGTACTCAATGAAAAAAGTACACGTTTTCTTCTACTTCCTCATCTTTACAACAATCGTGTTCCTCTCGACTGTTGCTGGCATCATGGGTCCCCCAGTGCTTACGCGCAACAACCACTACGCTACCAAAATTCTTCCAGAGGGCAGAACCCTCTATGATGGATTCTATAAGGTGATTGCTGACCCCGTGATGCTCTTCCAAAGGGAGATTTGGTTTTCATCCGTCATCCATCAAGGAAAACCTGATGGTAAACTCCAAACCGTACCGCTGAAATGGCTTTTGCTGGACGGTTGATTGTAATATTGACGCTAGGATATCAATCACTAGTGTACTATGTAAATCATGGCTTTATTTGCAAGAAGTCTTCTACAGGTTCTAATATTGTTCGAGTGTACTTAGCTTCGATAACCCCGTAGTGCGTGACGGCTTTTACTATTCTTACTAAACCACATCTGTCACAACTAGGCTCATTGCATCTGCATTTGTATTCCTCATTTCATGACCAAATGCGGAAGTCCTAGCGTTACTTTAGTTGTCTTCTCCCCCTCCGTTTCAGCCTTTGTGTCAATTCCGCTTGCCATTAACATTTCCGTGCTCTGTCGGGCATATCCGATGAACCTTCAGAATGAAGAAATTTTTGATCCTGGTGACGGAGAAGTATTGTCAATTGCTACTTATCAGGAAAATGCAACGCTCTTCTGCAACAATGGGAAGGTAATTGTG